AGCGGGCGGAATGGAGCCCCCGCGCGCGCCCGCTCTGCGCCGCCTGCTGCCGCCGCTGCTGCTCCTGCTGCTGCCACTGCCCCCCCGCGCCCGGGCCAAGTACGTGCGGGGCAACCTCAGCTCCAAGGAGGTGAGCGCGCCAGGCCCTCCCTTGCCACCCGCCGGGCCCCCGGGGGACAAGAAAGAGTGGAGGGAGGAGGATGCCGCCGCGCCCCCTGCCGCCCCTCCCGGACGGAACCTGGGAGCCGTGGGCGCGTGGGGCCGGGGGCGGGGTTGGGGCTGAGGGGGGCCATGGGGTCGAGACTAGACTCAGGGGGGTGTTGTAGGAGGGACATTGAGGTCAGAGCTTGGGCAGAGAGTAGGGCTGGGCTGGGAGAGTAGGAGTTTGAGGTGGGGGTGGGCAGACGCCGAGGTGGTGCTGAAGGGACAGCACTTTTCACTCCGCCGAGAGCCTGGAGTTCACACTCCTGCTCAGGACCAGGAGAGAGCCGTATGGAATATTCCCCAGCACGGATGGTCTCTGGGACCACCGTGGGGGCATGTGTGTGGATAACTCGTGGGATGCCGGTCGGATGGTGTCCGCGATGAAGGTGGCGGGGATCTGACCCTCAGGGTCTGTCTCAGGGTGCCAGACAAATGGGAGAAGCGTTTGAGGGCAGGAGAGGAAACTTGGGGGGCATCTGAGGCAGGAATCCTGGACCCAAGGTGAAGGGATCATGGAAGAATTTTGGAGATGACTTCGTCTCCTTATGCTTCTTGGGAAACCGGATACCCGAGGGTAGGGAAGAAAAATTGGGGGTCTGTGGAGTCGAGGAGAGTTCTCAAAGGACTAGGAAGAGGGTTGACTGGGCCCCTTTTCCAGGACTGGGTGTTCCTGACGAGATTTTGCTTCCTCTCGGATTATGGCCGACTGGACTTCCGTTTCCGATACCCTGAGGTGAGCCTTCACCAGCCATTCCCCATGCTGAGGCAGGGTACTCCCTTGCCCTCCCAAGGCAAGGGCTGCCCCAGCTCCCCGCGCTCCCCCAAACGCTGAAATCTCTGGGTCTGCAGGCCAAGTGCTGTCAGAACATCCTCCTCTATTTTGACGACCTATCCCAGTGGCCAGCCGTGTACAAGGCAGGGGACAAGGTGAAGGCTGTGAGGAGGGTGTATGGGAGGGGGGAGAAGGTCAAGGCTGCCCAGAGAGTGACCATGTCCCTGCCTTCCCCAGGACTGCCTGGCCAAGGAGTCAGTGATCAGGCCGGAGAACAACCAGGTCATCAACCTCACCACCCAGTATGCCTGGTCAGGCTGTCAGGTATGGGCCCAGCCTGGGGGAGTGGGCAGGTGCTGAAGGTCAAAGGCCTAGGGGTGGCCTTTGAGGAGCATCAGCCTTTTTCTGGCTCTTCCCCAGGTGGTGTCAGAGGAGGGAACCCGCTACCTGAGCTGCTCCAGCGGCCGCAGCTTCCGCTCAGTGCGTGAAAGGTGGTGGTACATCGCACTCAGCAAGTGTGGGGTAAGGGGCTGGGCTGGCCACCCGGACCTTCTCCTCCTTGCCTTCCTGCTGACCCCCTACCTTCCCAGAGACCCCCTTAGGCCTCCACACTCCCCACAGGGAGATGGGCTGCAGCTGGAGTATGAGATGGTCCTCACCAATGGCAAGTCCTTCTGGACGCGGCATTTCTCAGCCGATGAGTTTGGTGAGCATATGGGGACCCAGAAGCCAGGATCTTTGTGGGAGCCCAGAGCTACGTGCCTGCTGAGGGACACCCAGCCTGACTGAACCGTTTCCTCCCTCTACCAAATCGGCAGGGATCCTGGAGACAGATGTGACTTTCCTCCTCATCTTCATCCTCATCTTCTTCCTCTCCTGTTACTTTGGATGTGAGTCCAGTGCATGGTGGGGTGGGGGTGGTTAGGAGATATGAGGGTGCAGGGTTGGGGGACATGAGCTGCTTCCCCTTCCTGTCTTTGAACAACCTTCTCTATCCACCTTCTAGATTTGCTGAAAGGTCGTCAGTTGCTCCACACGACTTATAAAATGTTCATGGCCGCAGCAGGAGTGGAGGGTGAGGTTTAGAATATCCCAACTTTTGAGTCCTTTGAGGAGGGACCTGAGGCCCAGATACTTGGGTCCTGGGAGAGGAGGGGCTGGGGCCTGGACTCCTGGGTCTGAGCGAGGGGGGATGGGGGTCCAGACCTCTGGGTCTGAGGGAGGTGGGGCTGGGGGCCCAGACCCCGGGTCTGAGGGAGGTGGGCCTGGGGGCCCGGACTCCTGGGTCTGAGGGAGGAGGGGCTGGGGGCCTGGACTCCAGAGTCTCCTAGGAGGTCAGTGGGAGTAAAGGGTCTAGAACCCTGATGGGGATGAAGGAGGGGTTCTGGCAATCTGGATCATAGTGCTAGGGAACAGTGATGCCCCAAAGCCGGTTTCTGTCCTTTCTTCTCTCTGCCCATCCTCCCCTCAGTCCTGAGCCTCCTGTTTTTCTGCATCTACTGGGGCCAGTATGCCACTGATGGCATTGGCAACGAGAGTCTGAAGATCTTGGGTGAGAATGAGGTGGGCCAGGGAGGGTGCCCAGGCTCCTCTCCGAGCTGCATCTGAGCCGCTCTCTCCTCCCTTCTCTCAGCCAAGCTGCTCTTCTCCTCCAGCTTCCTCATCTTCCTGCTGATGCTCATCCTTCTGGGGAAGGGATTCACGGTGACACGGTGCCCGGGCTGGGGTGGGAGGGAGTGCTGGTGGGTGCCTGGGCTAGGGAGCGGGGCAGGAGGGTGGGTCTGGGGGGTGGCTGCCCCCTCCTCCCTGACGGCCCCCACCCCTGCTGT